TTACACGAGGACAAGTCGATATGTTGGCGATACAAATATTTAGAGGGTGGACGAAGAGTAACCGGTGGAACGATGTTATTAGTAAATTAACCGACATCAAAGAAAATGCGAGCGGTGGTCACTTACTCTGCTAATGGAAAGCCTGCATCCTCCTACGTGAGATATCTATAGACGTACATACGCGTATATAAATACATTTCTACATTTCAGTTGTAGTACCTGCAACTTCGGGATCGTTGTGCAAGAGTATATTACAGCCAGTGGCTCCTTCATGGACCATCCAGAACTCTGGGCATTACTTATGCCAGTTATCTAGTACTAACTGCTTGCTAATATGCAAAGCTTCCAGGTAAAATCAGAATTTTTAAGCTATTTTTTCCTGGTTATTGGAAGAAATGTGTACTATGCGAATTTAGTTATTTATTAAAATAATTTATTTTCAGGTTCGTGGGTGTACGGTGAATTAAACTTGGGAACTCGATGATTACTGGACTTGATGATATTGTGGGCTTGAGGACCCTTAGTGAAGAAGGAGCATGAAAGAGATAGTGAAGATTAGACGAAAACCAGATTAGACCCTGGCTGATGAACCTGTAATATTTTCGGAGATTGGAATGAGGGTAGTTTTTGAGAAAAATTTGAGAGAGTGGATTGTGTGAAGAGAGAGGTAGCGAGAGTTCGAAAGGAGTCGTGAAGAGAGTATAGGGTTGTCTCGCGATGGGTTTGAGTTTTATATGTATCATTGTTCAACCTACCACTTTCTTTGTTCTACGCTATTCTAAGGTGACTCGAACGAAGGTTAATCAGAATGACAAACCATTTTTGTATTATTAAATTATATATATCCGGGTTCTATATATTCTGGGGGCTCCGGGATTAGGTGCTACGTTACTTTTGTTACATTCGGGATTTCTTTGTCTTTGGTTTTATTGAGATGAAATGGTATCGTTGTGTTGTGTTTCATGTCAATTAATGTTGTATATATAATGTTATATGGTATATCGAATTTTATAGCTAAATTAAAGGATTTATTAAAATATTTTTATTGGAATATGTATATGTTTATATTCAAATTAGATATAGTAAAATTGGAAAATGAATTGTATACGACAGGAGCCATATTTCAACTATGAAGAATAGTATGTACTTTTCCTAAATATTAATTAATTAATACAAGTGTTTATTTTCCTATTATTATTTAATTATTATATATTAAATATTAATGCTCTAAATAGTTAATTATTGTTATTTTATTGTTATTCTTATTATTCCTATTATTAAATATTATATATTACGATAATTATTACAATATTATTATATAGATATAAATTATTAGAAATTTGCCATAAATTTTTAAAAATTTGTAGTACACATATAAATTATTGACATCACCAACATTTATTTTTATTAACTACATCAATTTATAATAAATATTGTTATTGTCTTTATTGCTTATACCCAATATTACATTTACCATTATTAATTGTCTTGACAATTATAGTATATCTTTTTAAATTAATACATTATACTAGCTATGTACTATAATTCATACCATTTATACTACATGCGAAATATTATATGTATACTAATTATTCTAAATATCGTGCTACACACTAATTGCGCCAAACACATACAAACTAACATGTACTACCGAATACTGTATAAAATAATTACCTTAGCAATGTTTATTATTAATAATTACATCCAATTTGTAATAAATCATTTTTTTAAGTAATTATATTTTATTATTACTATTATTTATTACACTAAATATTAATTATTATATACTAATTACTGCAAACATCATAGTTCACGCTAATATATACACAGATTAGAACATATACGCTATCGCATGCAAACTAATTATACACGACCGACTCCTATTAATTACATCAAATTTCACCAATCATTCTCCTCCGGTCCATTACAAGCTGATCCGATCCTTTATGTTCCACCGCGCACGCAGGTTCATTTATCACAACGAAACATTGCGATCGCATAGGAAGATGATGCATAGCGCCGTCTGACGAGCAGATCGGGAAGCTGAGAGGGCCGCCGAGGCCTCTCGCCTCCCTCGCCAGCCGTGGTCTTAAGGGTGATTTCTTTTCGTTTCTGGCCCCGCCGGACTAAATTTCGCGCGTTAAGCCCACGGTGTAATCCTGCCCTTAATATTCAAAAACGTGATCGCCCTGCCAAGCGTCCCGAAGGATGGAACTACCCCCGAACAGCCCGGGCCACTCTCGGCCAACCGAACTGGCGAACTGCTGGGGGGGTGGGAAGCTTTTCATATGCTAATTGGCATTCGTCATTTTCTTATGGCACCGACTTAAGTGTGCTTAAGCCTGCTAACTCCTTTCTCCAAGCGTTTCAGCTTGGCCAAGCTCACGAGCTTGGCCCCGTACCATTCGCGAAATTGGACAGTCTCGGGATTCTTCTTGCCATCCGGAACTCCTCGGGATGGAATACGAAATTTAACCGATAGGTTCTATAACCATCTGTGCTCCTCGAATACCAAAAGGCCTCGCTGTTCGATCGGTATCGCCTCGTGTTAATCTGATGACGTCGATTATCTCCTGTGTTCTAGGTATTCGAGTCCTAAGATTTCGATCGGTCATTAATTGGACTAGAAGACGATTTGGTTACGTAAGTCCCGGGTATATCTTCGTGTTAACACTTATGTTAGTAGCCAAGATTCTCTCTGACGTCCTTCGATATGTGCCTGGTACGTTTAGGTTAAAGAAATTGGTGTAATCACGTGTTTTGGATCGTCTCTCCATGCTGGGCAATTTGAGCATCTTGGGAATCTGAAATTGGGAAATATTTTAACATTAATATCCAGTTTTTGGAGCTAGGTGTTGGATGTAAAGTGTATGATACGATATGGACAATGGAGATTGATGCCTTTGTGAGTTTGGGACTAGTGCTTCTTTTATATGACAATGAGTGGCAGTACTTGGATAGTACGTGATCCCAGGTTTATTTATTGGATGTTCAAGTAGGAAATTATATAATAATTTACATGGTAAATTTAAATTGCAGTATATTATTATACATATTACTATTTAAATTATAATGTATGTTGAAATTATTATTATTGTAATAATAGTATATGGAATTAGCAAGTGTGGCAAATTATAATTTGGACAGATTTGGAAATCTTTTATCAAAATGATAATATAGCTTAAATATTTGTATTATTTTTTTAATTAAAGTATTATTTTATTTTAATATATTTTATGTATTACTGAATATAGAAAATTTATGTTATTTTGACGTATAGGGTATAGAATAGAATATTGAAAACACCTCAATCATTTTTCAAATGGCATTGAACTATTACTATTGTTATATTTTGTTGTATATGTACTGCGTTAGTACATATATAATAGTACATAATACAATACATTTATCGTACACAAATTTTAAATAGCGTATATTTAGCTTTTAACAGTTTGAGTAATAAATTATTGCATCACAGTTGGCAGGAAATACGTCAAATTACGATGGTTAGAACAGATTTGAAAATATTTTATCAAAAAGATAAAAGATTTTAAATATTGGTATAAGAATATCGATGTCTTGATTTGAAAAAATTGATTTAATGTCTGGAAACAGACGAAAATTGTTACGTGCAGTTGTAGATGGCGCGAGCGAGTTAGATGCACGTACTTACAACTATATCTCTAAATCTATGTATCTATATTAATTATATTTAAAGTAAATATTGTAAATGAAATTTGAATACGTTTCATTGCTTAGCATGTGTTAGAAAAGTTCCCGTAATTCCAAGGTAGTTAATAATCTTGCACTAGGCACTGATAACTATGTTATCTTTCCATAGTTCTAAGGAGTATCAGAAATCAGAAAAGCTATAAATCAAAAAAATCCTCTGTAGGATATAAATACCTGAAAATTCTTTGCAATAACATGAGAAATTGAGATTATTTGTAATAACAAATAATCAATGATGTTTAAAGAAATTAAAATATTGTTGTATATTTAATTCAATTATTTACTACTCAATATCATTAGAAATTTAGATCAATTAATGATGTTTGAAAAAATTAAAATATTATTGTATATTTAATTAATTTAAATGCTAATCAATTGTGTAACTTAGCAATTATTGCAATATACTTAATAATAATTACATAATTATATTTAATATGTTCTTATAGTAATTCTTTTATATACTATGTAGATAATATTTCATAATATTTCGCCATTATTTCTTACAATTAGTTCAGATAAAATTTTTACAATTGTAAATTGACGATAATGCTATTATATTCCATGAAATGTAATAATATTTAACAAGGAATATTCTACTATATATATTACATATGACCTACATTTCCTTTCCCACTTTTCCCCCATTTTTATTCTTCATTTCTCCTTAGCAAAATCTAAAATAAAAATAATTACAGTTGAAATAAAACTTCACAATATAAAAGAAAAAGAAACATGTTCGCTATATTTACTTACTAAACTCATTCATGCAGTTTAATACTTATTCATTTATCATACTCATTTTCTCATTGTACAAAACAATATAATTAAGAGCAATACTGAAAAACTGACTCATCATTAATTTCAAGTATACATTTATCACTCATTTCCCAGCCGATGAATATCGTTTCACTATTGCTACAACTATCTTGATTAGAAATTAAAAGCTGCTACACCGATACGCCCTAATTATACCTTAGCCGATCTTCGCTGATAAGATTTTTATCTGTCACACCGTTCGTCCATTTAAATATTGAATTTATGGATTATCGGTTCGCCGGCGATCGAAGTACACATCTCATAAATATTTTTCCCGTCCGACTCGAGGTACGAGTATCACCTTCTCCTATTGTAGCACATGCGTATATTACACTCCACCTTTATCGGAAGATATCTGAGCAGCGTATCTGTAACAAGATAACGTGCGTCGACTAAAAGTGCCTCGCCTCTGGCCTCACGTTAGTCGGTTTGCTCTTTATTAGTTGGTCTTTTTAGTGAATCGCAAGAATCGGGAAGAGTGGACCAATCGTGTGTGTTAGATCGAATCGAATAAGCAATCGAGATGTCAACATGTGATTGAACATCGATTGATTGATGAACCGGATCGACGTGGAAAATCGACGTGTTCGACAGTGCGTAGGAATAGAAGGTTGATCGATCCGACCTCTTCTGCAAGGTAAGGCGCTGAAGTTTGCTGAGATTGAAGGTTGACAGGGCTGGGTCAGTTTCCATGTCCCGGTCTGTTGTGATGGATAAGTAATTGGCGTGCAAAGTGCGGTGATCGTACGCAGTGAGGAATCTCGATGGAAATTCTATTAATCCTGAAAGACGTCATCAGGTGATTCATCGTGACACATAAGTCGTTAGACACGTGTAATACAGCGTTAACGTAATCACAACTGGTGCTAATTATGTATAAATATAGGAAAATAAACGTGTGCTATATTATACAGCATTTGCTGTATCATGCTGTACTATAGTGTATACTACTCTGTGCTGTATTATAGTACATACTGTATTTTAGTGTGCTATAGTGTGTACTATAGTACATCGTTATGGAGTACATGGTACTGTGGTATAGTACATGCTATATTGTATACTGCATATAGTAAAGTATATTGGATGTACAATGTTGTAATATACTGCAGTTTATCGTATGTTGTATTATATTATACACTGTATTAATTCATTACATAGTAAACTTTTGTTGGTTATAACTGGATATAAAATAATACCTAGATAGTAGTTATTATTATTTCATATTTTAATACATTTTAATCTATTTTATGTATTATTGAACGTGAAATAAAATTGGAGTATATTACAATTTTGTAAAAATTAAAAAAAAAATTTAATTATAATTTTAAATTCATGATTTATTAAAATTACTAATATATAATAATAATTTTTTAAAATCATAATAAATTATGATAATTATACATTATTCTGTATTGGTACAGTATTAGTACAATACATCCTGCTCAAAATTTTATACATGAAATATTTGATATTACAAGTGTTACATGTACTGACATTCTAATTTATCATCATCGAGCATAAAAATAAAAAATTTTACTCTAGCAAGAATTCAGGAACCCAATAACAAAAGTAGATGACTTTCACCTTTATAACCAACAAAAGCTTAAAGAACAGCAATTTTAATGAAAATATTGTAAAATTTTCAGTACTGATTTTGTTTTAATCTGTGTCTCACTGTATGTTGTTTTAAAGGAATGGCTATACATCTTCAAGAGGTGGTGCGCTCAGAGGTGGAAGGTGGTCTAGCTGGACCAGCTAATCCCATACCTAGTCAGTTAATAGACTGTGGCTGTGGACAGTTACCATGCCCGAGATTGGCAAGATTCGCAACCAGACGACTTTTCGTTGGTCTGATGTCATGGGTTGGGCTGATCCAAGCTGCTGCTTACGCCTACCTCCACGTGGTAGGACCCACGATCACTAGGAGGTTCCAATTTGACCCCTATGTAATGGGCATGTATTTCAGTTACCATAATAAGTAACAAGTTAATACCTGTAAAAACAAAACTTCCGTTAGCGAATAATATTCATTATTTCAACGAAGACTCATACGAACCATAGTCGATCTTCCAATAGTTATGGCGTTGAAGACGATATTGAAAAAAGATTACAATAGCAATTGCGATATTTTTCTTGGCTTTCCAATTTTTTATTTTTCATTTTATTATTTCATAATTGCAATGAAAAGCTTTCTGAATTTTTTACACTCATCTATAACGGAGTATTCTTAGTCCTATCTTGAAATATTGACACATTCTCTTGTTGATCATTGTCAACGTGAATTCACGTCATTTTAAATTCCATTTTTCGGTTATTACCGATTTAATAATTTCAAAGTACTGTTCCTTTCAAGCTTCGATATTGAAAAAATGGAAAAATTATCGACTATGAATGTGTTAGGAAACATTTACATTTAATTTTCTCACAGATGTGAATATGTACGTGTTCATGACTTATTCCAGATGGTCATAATATTAATTAAAATTTCTGTACAATGCTTAGAATTGTGGCTCAAAAAGTATTTAGTATTATACTAGAATTTCTTAATATTTATATTTAGTATAATGTAATTTTTATCGAGTTTTAAAGTTTAAGATTATTATTTTGATTATAATAAAGTTTCTGTTTATATTGCAGAATGGGTACTTATAATATCAGATTTAACACCTTTCGTTTTCGGAGTGATAGTTGCTTACTGGGGTGACAGAATTCACAGAGCAGCATGGATTGGAAGCATGGTTCTTCTGCAGAGTGTTTCGTACTTTATTATGATAATTCCACACCTGACACATCACACGAAAGTCATTGAGGAAACTGAAAACATGACACACATGTCGATATATGCAGGTGAGTAAAACATGGCTATTACAAATGGTCCAATTAGAACATTTTTATATGCATTAGATACGTCTGGGTAGCCTAATCTAATATAATATTAATTAAAAATTATTATTTAATTATTACTATTTATTACATATTATTTAATATTGATATTTAATTTTAGTGCTTCGCTATTATCAATATATTATTGTATAATTATTATCAAATAAAGACATTCGTTAAGGATAATTTTTACTAATGATTATTAATAATTAATACTAATTAAATGTTACTTATAGATAATATTAATTGAATTATTATGTTTTCGTTTCAATAAAACTCATTATTACTTCTTTTTAAAACAGCTGCATATTTTTAACATCTGTAGGAACAAAATATATAAGTAATTTAGCGACAATATAGTTTCAATAAAATTAGGAATTCAATAAAAAACAATTTTTCAAATTTATACTTCTTGTTATGATAATCCAGTATTTTATAAAAATATATATTAATTATGAAATGAGGATTAATGGCATCAATATTCTCTTTTTTTCCTTCAAATGTAGGAACTCGGTGTAGAAGAATATTTTAAATGTATCTTTTCCTTTTTTTTTTCATAATAATTCAATATTCCACAAAAAATATGTTAATTATGAAATTGTGAAGTAATGGAACCGATATTTCCTTTTTTCCTTTAAATTGGGATTTGAGAAATTTAATTTGTATTAGGATTAGCTTTATAAATTAAAATATAATTACATATTCTTTTTCAGATGATAGTCGAGATCTGTGTTCAGATAATTCTGCCAGAATTATCGCACATGAAGATGTGCCCTGCTATTTCACATTCGCGACGATCGTCGTTGTACAAATTATATCTGGTATAGCGAACATTGCGTATTTTGCATTAGGTATTTCTTATTTAGACGACAATACGAAAAAGAAACACATAGCTGCTTTCATTGGAGTCCTCATAGCTGTAAAAATCTTTGGTGTTCTTCTGGGAAGCTTCTTGGCGTGGGGTTGCCTTAGGTGAGTTATCACTACAAAAATAACGAATATTTAATATTTCTAATATTATCATATAACATCTTGCTACCATTAAGAATTATTTGGCAATCAATCTTGTGTTAAAAATTGTTGACATTCATGATTGAATACCTTGTATATCATTTAACAATTAATTTTCTATAAAATTTTTTTGAAAATTCTGATACAAGTAATCAATTTTGTTTTTAAAATTTTTAACACTTCTGATAGCATTACAAAATATTTTAACACGAGTATGAGTTATTTAGCAATCGATTTCATGTCGCTAATTTTTTATATTTCTGAGAGAATATCTTAAAAATTATTTACTAATAAATTCTATTGTAAAAATTTGTTCATTTAATTAATTCATGTAAAGATAATGGAAATATTATTTTAATTCTTCGATAAAATAATTAACGAAATTAATTACTCTTTTATAAATTTTCTATTAATATGTACATACTGCATAATTTTTTAACTGCAATATTGAATTATAATAAATTATGCGAATAAATCTGAGACACCCTATATATGTTTTTATAAACCTCCGTAAATGGACTTCAATTTCTTCATCATTAATGCTCATATCCATTTGATGCTGTATTAAAATGTCCACCAATACCATACTGGTGGATCCTATTGAACAAAATTTCATTAGGTTAAACAAATTAAAATTTATAATGCAATTTACAAAATTTTCAATGCTTTGTGAAAATTCTTACTGATACAGAATCGACGCAGTGACACTCAGCCCTATAGAGTCCTACAGAGAGCAAATCGGCGCATGGTGGTTAGGATTACCAATTCTCACAATCCTGTTCATAGTGCCTGGTTTACTTCTCTCGTGGTTCCCTCGAATGTTACCATCTGAGGTAATTGATTAATAACATTTAACTTTTTACCTTCATAGTGAAACGGCACATGACATATATAAGCAACAGATAATCCAAATTGATTAGTTCCATTGAAATTAATCATGCAGCTTCTGACAAATTAGATACTAATTATCCATTTAAGGAACACGCTGCACTGTTCAGATTGTAGTATCGAGAAGCACCACTACATCGAACTGCGGCGTGCGACTGGCAGTGCGTTCGGCGCCTACCGCAGCGCCACCTCAGTCTTACTAACACTCGATGCAAACAAACTGCGATCGCGCTGCTTGTCACTTTTCAATAACATTTTTCTAATAATCACTAATGCTGAAATGGCTAAAAACACTTGCTACTTTTGGAAGATGAAATTGATCGGTTTGGCTTCTACGTGGCTTACGTTGTACAGTATTATATGTACCGTGGTATGGTAATTGGAATTTCATGAATCTGTATGTTTTAATACATTAGGTTGTCGAGAAGGCTGCAGCTTCGTTATTAAGCAATTCCGACAGACGAAGTCGAATACCTCGCAGAATGATCAGTCAAAAGGTTGGAAGTTCTAATTTTTGGCCATCATTGGGTAGACTCTTCATTAATAAAATTTTTATGTGCCAAGCCTTGGCTTGTACTTTTTATGTTATGGCTATTGTAAACTTCGTGGGTTTCGAAAATCTTATTGCGCAATCGCGATTCTATGTTCCGAAACCAACCGGAATGTTACTCGGTTTCGAGGATCCAATGTCGTCGAGACTAATATCAAGTAAGTTTCATGCGAGTGTAAAATATAGAAATGTTATAATATGCAATTGAATATTATTATATTTTATTATAAAAATATATATTATAATAATATTTAACGCTATATTATATTAATATTGAATATCATATTAATGTTAATTACTATATTAACCCCTCGCACTACGATTTAAGTAGGAAAAATTATACGTCGAAGAATATCATTACATTTAAATTTAATTAACCATTATACATTTATTTTAGCCACAATAAAATTGGGTAAAAATTTTCCAAATTCTTCGAATTTTGTGCTTGTTAAAATATCTTAAATATAATTATGGTCACATGATAAAAGCTTACAATTGGGAGATTTGACATGAAGAACTCGTGACGAGTTAGGCTGGATATTATAGTGCAAAGGATTAGTACTATATTATTGTTCAATATTACATTAATATTTAATATTTTATTAATTTCCAAAACTGTATTAATGTTCAATACTATAGTGATATTCAATATTATATTATGTTAATATTAATATTTAATTAATTTTCAATATTGTATTAATATTTACTATTACATCTACTTTCAATATTATTTTAATATTCAAAAATATATTAATATTATTTAATTTCAGATATTCTAAAACCCATCCTAGTTGGCTTAATTATAATTATTTCTGGTTTAGTAATTGCGAAAGCAAAACCTAGTGCTAGGAGTATCGTCGGTTACAGTATTATCGTTGTCCTTTTGGCAGCTGGAATTATTTTTTCATTGACTGCTGCAACTTGTGATAAGAAACCCATTGTTGGAACTACTCAGAGAGGATCGTAAGTGTTATCGATAAACGAAGCAAAATGTTGAATAATGCAATCACGTTTTAAAAATGCATAGAAAAAATGAAAGTGTTTATTAAATAAGTACTTATTTATTTTCATTTTTCTTTCAGTCTTGTTTTACTAAAATATTGCAACAAAAATTGTGGTTGTTCGAACGATGCTGATTTTCGCCCTGTTTGCGATACTAAAGGCACGTTTACCTTCTATAGTCCTTGCCATGCTGGATGCACTTCCTCTCAACTTAGAAATGATATAACAACTTACAGTGGGTGCAGTTGTGTAAAAGAATTAATGGGAACAGAAACTGTGGACGCGATCGATGGACCTTGTACTTCAAATAGTTGTCAAATCAGTTGGTTAGCTTTCGAGGTGAGTATTTTACTATTTTTTCCAATATTAGGTATATTTGGAATTTATTATCTTCTTTTACTAATGAATTGAATTTTATTTCATTAAGAATAGAATTTCTGAATAAAAATTTTTCACTTTACTTAACATTTTTTAATTAAAATTCTGTATTAAATTTAATTGGAAATTTTACTCACAATTTGAAGATCCAATATAAAGGTTTCAAATTGAACGTACAATTTTACTAAAAATTTTTAAGTTCGACATATTTGAAATTTTAAAGGGCAAGTCTTTATTTTAAATTTGGAAATTTAATGCAATGCAATTTAAAAAATTTTATGCACCTTCATTTTTAAATTTTAGTTTTAAAATATAAAGTTTAGTATAAAATAAGTAATTTAATAAAATATTCAATTTTTATATTTAATGGCCAGTCAAAGGTAATTACATATAAAGCAAAAATGAAAGAATTATGTTTGCATGAATGATATAAGACTTATTTCTTTTCTTCAGTTTGGAATTCTGTTCGCATATATTTTAATTGCAACGGCATTTGTGGGAGATATATTGGTAATGTTGAGATCAGTCAACTCTCAAGACAAAGCTATCAGTATAGGACTTTGGTTGACATTCTTTGCTATATTCGTGAATGTTTCTGGGAAAATTCTTTACGACACGATAGCGAGACTAACGTGTCAGTATTGGGGAACTAAAAGAACTTTATGCCACCTACATGACGGTTTCAAGCTTGGCAACTATCTGTGTTACTTGACGGGTTCGCTATTGGTTTTGTGCGTTATATTAAAGATCTGTGCGTGGTTCTTTTGTCGGGACTTAAAGCTTTACATTCCCAAAGAGGCAAAAACGACATCGGGCACAGAATTGAAAGAACTGACCCGTAATCCTGATGCTGCAGCTGAACAACCAAAGGAGCAAGTTGAAACCAACCATGAAAGTAAGTTGTAATGTGGACTTGCAGTCATTCATCTTTCTGGAATATCTAATCGTGAATTATAGCTAGTTTTGGACCAAAGGTGAAACGTTTCTAATTTTATCAGATTTTATACATAATTACTTTTCAATTAAATATGCTATATTTTTATTTTATATTTTAACATAAACTATTTATTTCTATAATTTAATGTTCTTCAAAATAAAAATCTATAGTAGGATGTTTTGGAGCACAAATAGTTCACGAAACTGAAATTCATTTATTCCATTCACTAGGTATGATATCTCGTTCAAATAATAAAAATCTCTATAACCGTTTCATTTTATAACAATAATTCATAATTTGATGTATTGTGTCTTCTTCCGTACACAAACATCATTATCAGATTTATTTGCAATACATACTAATAATCAAAAAGCCTAACACAATTTACAAACAAACTAACATCACCATTTCCTACGACTTTCTCAGATCAAACATCAATACAAGTAGAAGTCACAAATGAAGATGCAAAGGATCCAACTAAATCTCTAACTGAGAACCAATCCACACCAAAAGAGGATAAAGAGACCAAAGAATCGCCTCTGAAGTATGGTCCTCTTGGACCTGGTGATCGTCGAACAGATTCCAAATCTTCGCTCAACCAGACACCTGAGACTCAAAAATCAAGATATCGGAACCTAGACTCGGAAGACGAATTAAGTTCCACCGACGAAGAAGATAAAAAGGATTCGAGTCCAAAGGTAGCGTACAAACCTTTGGATCTGGACTCTGATGTAGAAAGTGACCTGAACCAGGTAGAGGCAAGATCACGCAAGCGCATCATGGGGAAGGAATACGAACCTGTCTACAACAGCGACTATAGTTCTTCGAACAGAAGCTCACTCTTCAAACGCGAATTCCCCAACCCGGATAACTACGAGGATCCAAGGCTAAATAGAAGGCTGCGATACAAGGACCAAAACGAGAACATTGATGGTTCCTCCAAGACCAGTAGTTTCGAATTCTCTAGAAAGAGACAAGATGACAAAGTACAGAAAAAAGGAGATTTTAATGAAGTCGGCATACCTGTAGTGGAATCCTATGTTCCTGGTTCTGCTTTGAAAGGGGTGAAGTCGTTGATCAATCAATACGAATTAAACGTTGATCAGGGGCCTGGAGGAGATCAGGACTCAGTGAGATCAGGGGAAAGTGGAAGTATCCCAGAGAATAAGACAGTCGGCGGTATTCCGTTAGTAGCCATGGCGTCCAAGAGACCTTCCTCCAGAGGTCAGTACTCTTCAGGGATTAGTAACTTGGTAGATAGCAAGATTACAGATAATCGACCAGAATCCCGAGAAAGCGTTAGCCCAAAAGCTTCTAGCAAGGGAAGCGTTGGAACATTGCATACCGATTTCTAATATACAGTTATGTTATGATACACTGATATACGTGCTGGATCTTTGTTTCCGAATTTTATATAAAAGTTTATAAAGACGCTTTATTTATTCAACATTTGTTTCCTTTTTCGTATGATCAATGATGATTTTGTACTCGTGGTTATTTGAAAAGTATTTAAGAATAGTTTAAATTATCAGGTAAGGACGAGTGTGAAATATTTTTATTAGATTTTGATGATTTTAATTCATCAAATTGCAAGTAAAGTAATATGGATCTAATTAAATGTTTAAATCAAATATATTGGAAAGTAAATGTAAGTGAATTATGTACAATATTTTTAGGCGTAACTGAATAGAGATTGAAAGAGTTATTTTTTGTGGAAGAATGCTCAAAGACTTAAAAATGTCATAAAAGTATGTTTCTTCATGCTTCTATTAGATACGGTATGAGTTATTAGAATATTAAATCATTTTCATGTCTACAAAATAAAATGTGATTTAAAGGATAAACTACAGAGGAAACATTATTTGTTTCAAAATATAAAACTATTTTGAAGCATTTTAAATTACTTTAATTTCTAAAAATAAAACTCATAGTTTAAGCATTTAATGAAAAGAGTATAGTGAAATGAATTTAATTATAACATAGTTTAATAAAACATTATGTTTTACTAGAATTTTCACATTTAAATATATTTATTGTTTCTTATTATACAGATAAATTTTTAAGACACCATTTGAGAAAGGAACACGATTAACTTGCTACTTACATTGATTAATAAATTTTGTTAATAAACGCTGAAAATAATACATATACCTAAAATTATATACACATATTAATTATAAGTTTTTATAATTGAGAGTGCATCATAGTTATTTATTGCGTATTTTAGATAATACATCATTACTGAAGAATGTTGTTTAAGGTATTCATTAACATACATAAGCTCTTAATGTCTCAATGATACTTTAAAACTCGATATTGACCATTTTCTTGGTCTCCAAAATCACTTGAAGGCCATGTTTCAGACACAAAGGAATGCATTTAGACACCTACTGCAAGAAAAAGAAAAATTACTATACACATCGCAAATACAGACAAAAAAGTGACGAGAAAAATATATTTCATAGTGTTCCTTTTTCTGAATCTTTCAAATTAAGTTTCAAACATTCTCTCGTATCATCAAACGTGAAAGACAAGTATGCGTATTTCTCTCTAATGACGTACATAGCATATTATTATATTGAAAGAATTTTTAATTTACATATCCATTTTATGGACGAAGAATGTATTATTTGATACAATTAATTATTTTGTAACAGGTATATTTTAATATTTCAAATATACCCCACTTCGAAACTATGTAATATTTAAAATATAAATAATCCTTCTTGCATTTAGCAATTAATTATGTTGCTCAAATTCGACTTTGTTTTGTTAATATGAAAATAGAAATAAAATGATTAATGTAATAAATAAAATAAATATAATGTATAAATATAAATTCGACACTTTTGTAAAAATATTAGTGTTTAAGTATCACTCCAAAAAGAGTTTTGTTACTTATTTTGGTACCTTAAAATATAAAAATTAATTAAAAATATTATCCATAATATTCAGATAAGTTAGAATAAAATAACTATTCATAATTACCTAATTACATGTTGTATCCTTTTCTATTAGATTTCTTACGACCATGAGGATGATTGCTCACGTAGTGAGAAAGATAGATATATAATCCTTTATAATCATTCAGTGACAGAGAAATAAAAATTTCCGGCAGTCGATGAGTCATTCATCGATAAAAGTCTCAATTTCTATACTTTACTTTTTAGAAAGGATTTGTTGGAGACTTCTTAGAACCGAAATTAAGAATAAGCTCATATATTATCCTTTTAAAGTATTTTATTTACATTGTCGTAATTATAGTAGGATAAAATAATAGTTACGTTAGCTAAAATTCATTAAAGTCACTGAAATGTACGTATAACTAGAGTAATTCGAATTTAGTGAATTAATTTTCACTAGAAGATTCTCGAGAATCTTTCAGTGAAAAATATTAAGATACAAATATAAAAAGTGAAAATTTAAAAATTAAAAATGTAAAAGCTAAAATTTCGATCAATGAATATTTCACTAAGCACCCAAAATGACTGTTTTCAGTTGTCCCTAGATCCTCATAGAAACATCAAACGTGGCTCGTTAGTACATCTACTGGTAGTGAATCAACAATGAAAAGTGCAGCAGCTGAGGAAAGATACGATCACTTACCTTATTCAGAGTATCTTTACTTTACTCTTAATTGAATAGTTCTTTCTTCTAGTGCTTTAGTTTAATATTACATTTATATACGTCATTAATTAATTAATTTGTATTAGTATTATTACATTTATTATTAAACATATCTATTTTTATTTAATGTTCATTAGAATGTATTTTTCTACATATATATATATATATATCAAATATGTATTAAACTAATAAATTTATTATATTAAGTAAAATAAACTCACATTTAAACAAAATTAATAAAAGTTAATAGGAAATTTATGATATGTGATATGCAGCTCTCTTTTATTTTGAAATGAAATATTAGATAAAATAATTTTTTTATAGCTTTTCTTAAACAATTAAGTTTGTTAAAGTATACAAATTTCATACCATGTTTGTTTTTTTGTTTGTATAGTACTTTCCGGACATATGTATATAAAGAAATTGTTTGCTATTGATAAATACAAAATGAAAAATTATGGAAAAAAATTGTATAATCACAACTGGTTTAATTATTGTATCGAAATAGCACTGCCAACAATTAAATGAAAATGCAATTAAACGCCATCCAAAGAAATTAAATTGTTTATATAAAAGTGTTCTATAATTCTTGTATCTAGTAATATTTGTAATAAATTAAATCTGCTTCCTTTATTGTAATCTTATTTGTTTTAGACAAAATGTATAATAAGTTATCTTATTAAATTGTAAAAGGTATTTTCAATTCTTATTTATATTAATAATACAAAAAATGCAATAATTATATGTATATTGATAAATTATTCACTGTTGTTTTATTCTCTTTTATAGTTATTTTAAGTCATTGAAATTCATTATTTTCCATTCTTTTTATGTTATTTATCCAACCTTTTATATTTATTTATTCTAGAATCCAATTAAATTCTAGAAAATCAAAACTTTATATAAATACTTTGCAAAATTAAGATAAATTATTAAATTTCAATTGAAGTAATTTTTCAATTAAAAGGAAGGATATATATATATTTCTATCTTGTTCTTGAAAAAAATTATTTTTCAAACTGGTTATTTCAAACACAGATAAGTGTAGATAAAATTGTTTTATTGAAAGATATATACTGCTAAAGTTAAAATTTCAAAACGATAGGTCTCTATTCAAAATTGAAATAGCCTAATTTATTGCCTGCTTTTATTATCGTCAGTGTTAATTCCATATACTCGTATACCATAACAAAATTCCATCATTATATCATTAAGTGACATTCTTACGAGTTTTTATGCAAATAAAAGTTAAATATACATCAATCTTAAGACACTACTGGTATTAATTTCCATTTCCTTTAATGATTTAAAAAATAAATTTACAGATTATACGCAATGAACCTCGATTAATAGTGATAATTTCAATAATACGTCAGCTTTCGTATTAAATTTTATGTTACGTAAATTAAGCTATTTTGAGTAAAAAATAGTGTTTGTATTCGAGCCGATTTTCTTCTTAACATTATTCGAGAACTTGGCAACGTTTCGTTGATTTTAAAAAATACGATACATAATACCATTAAATTTAGAATAAAAACATCTCCTTTCACCGACAGACAAGAATCATTTCTTCCTGCCTAGATTACATTTTGTACACGAAACATGAGTCTATGACTGACACGAAAGTCTCCTACTGCTGTAGATGCTACCCTTAATCTTCCATGGATCGTCTTCAATAGTTTAACCTCCAGACTTCTCACAGGCGATGAGAATTAACAATTGTAGTAAAACGAGGATAGTAAAAAATTAAATTCATTTCCATCTTCAAATGCCGTGCCTCACGAGTGAACTAGTCAACAATAAGTTCTATCTGAGGTACTACGAGCGTTTAAATATCTAAGAAGTTGCTTAAGGTACTTGTAAAGTCTTTATTCGTCGGCTCTCCCATTTTTCCAACGTTCCCATCTTTTTCTTTTTATTTATTTATTTAGTTTTTTTTTCTTTTCATCAACGTCTTCGCCGTCCATATCCTTAACTTCACCTTTCCTCGAAACGAAGCGATCTGACTCGATCGTTAATGACTCACTTTCAAAGTGTCTCCCCTGGTTCTTCAGCTATGTCTTTCAGCTCGATCTCTTCGTCGAAGATCTTCACGTCTTTCACGAAGTACCAGACACCCACATCGAATAACGTACCGATCGTTACGAATGCTGAGAAGAAAATATTTGTCAGAATAAATTGACTTTTCATGGAAAATTATTGCTATTCTAGGTGTAGTATTTTACATGACACTAATTTAAGCTCTCAGAGCAATAATTGGTACTCCAAAAAGTTCTATTCTTTATGCTGACAGTAATAATATATTTACACGTTGAATCTGTTAACTAAACGCTTCAATATTGTGCCTCTAATTCGTTTATACATTTATTGTTATATTTAACATAAATTTCATTTATCATATGATTCATAAACGTGCTGGAAAGATGAAAAGCGTTTTGGCAGCGATGACAGAAATGCGTGAAAAACAGCACGAACTTTTCGGGGTATCTGATGTTATTTGCCTTAAAACTTTGGTCTAGTATGAATAAAAATTTTCAGAATACAGTAAACAGCAACTTACTGGCTGCAGTAAAGTTTAGTAGATATCTCAGTGTCTCCCCATTGTAGAGCCAACAATTTCCTGTACCTGAACATGTTTTCCCCCAAACAAGACAGGTTTTATCTGAAAACAAAAATATTTATATATAATTCTTTGTCGAATAAGAGCATTAAAAATGAGTGAAAATCATTAAATAAATATTTCTTTAAATGTTCAAGAATTCTATGATTAAATTTCATAGATGTAATACCAATCCACTTTTCATTATTATATTCGTGAATTTATTTTAATATTACAAATCATTATCATTTACAATAATAGAATTAAAAATTTGAAAGCGATTAAGATAAACTTTATTTTGCAATTTTAATAAACTTATTAATTCTATTTAAATAACCCTTTTATAATACTTCTTAATTTTATATATTTAATTCTCTTATAAAACTTCTTATATTCATATTTCACTACTGTCATCTAAAACTTGTATCATATTCATTTTTACAAATATATTCTTCTATAAAATTTCTTTTCATATATTTAGACGCTTTTACTTGAGGATTAGTATAATTTTTATATATAAGGATAAATATTTCTGTTCTCTTTAAATAATTTTCAGACTTACCTAAAATAAATCCAAACAAAATAGGAGACGGTATGAATGCAAATAAACTCATAATAGTTAATCCAAAGCCCATAGCCACTGTCTTATCCTTCTCATCGACGCATCTAACCGAGACTAGGAAGTTCGACGCCCTGCCGGTGGCGCCACTGAACTTGAGCAGACAGACCACAGCCAAAAAAATATAGAACTTATGCATGCAATCTACGGAACAGGCGCCAGGTATTGCTGTTCCCAAATTTGCTGATCCATCTGGTTGTGTAGACTCAAATGGCATTTCCGTTGTATGTGGCAAAGTGTTGTTCGCAAACAAAAATGGCAACGGTCGAGCAAACTTTGGTTTGATACAACTGCACTCCGTGTACATCTTACTACCGTTATTTTGCATCTAAAAACAATCAGATAAAAGTGGTGAGATTATTAAAATACGAAGTTGAGATATACATCTAGTTTTTAAAGCTTCTGTAAATTAATTCTTTTAAATATAAATGTCTACATAAAGAGAAGACAAAATAGGATGCTATTACTATTCTAGGCTTGACTTTGCATCGAGCATTTGAGCCACAGCTTTGAGATATAAAGTATAACACGACTTATCCAAAAGAGTAGGTAATACTGTGACACTATTCGTCTGACGAAATCTACATTGACAAAATGATATCAAACCTTTATGTTGCGACATCCAGCGTGACAAGCTGAGATGAAGGTCTGACCATGTTCCGAACAGACGGGATTATATGTAACGTAGTCGCAGTGACATTGTTCATTGCATGGAAGCTGTGTCATTAAAGCACCATCTGGTTGAACCGTGATCTGATTGTCGTTAGCAGAACAGCCGAGGAAAGCATAGGAAATCATCCCTACAACCGATATAGCTCCCACCATTACGTTCCACGCAGCCAAGTACCTAGCCTTTGGTTTGTACTTAGAGATGACTAAACCGGATATAAGAATTCCAAAGGCACTGAAGACCAAGCCGACTGTCCCAGTAATTAATGATGAAACAGAGGCGGACTGTTTGTACTGAGTTTCGATATATTTCGGCATGAAAATCCAATAAGGCATGTATCCCAGAAAGTAGAAGACGGTTGCTAAGTTGTTACACATTAAAGTGAGATTCGTTAGCAGCCGTTTGAATGTCCTCATCATGTCCGAGATGGAAGCAGGTAATTCTGGCTCCTCGCCTCCTTTTATGCTAGTCGCTGATTTATTCCGTTCCAACGCTAAAGCTTTACGAGCAGCAGCTCTAGGCAGCGTCTTGGGGAAAAGCGCGATGATGCTTGCAAAGACGAAGAGCAGGAACGCTAAGATGATCCAACCGAGCCACCAAGCACCTAACCATCTATTCGTGTTACAAAAGATTAATGAATTTGTCTTATTAAACAGGTAGTAAATTAACGTAAATAAATTTATAACTAATAAATAATTCAATATTTACTTTTGGACAAACTTAATGAATCTTCTACTGAACTATCTTAAAATCCCAATCTAGTCTTAGATAGACTACTTCAAATTGAGGAATAAAGTGAAAGTAGAAGTAAAGTAGAAGCATACCTAGGGTCCTGAGTTGTAATTGTAGGCGTTAAGGTAGGGCTAATGTAAAACTTGAGGGCAAATGAGGCTAAACCGTAGCCAATAGCTGGTCCCAGCATTCTCAAAAAGTACGAAAAACTGATTAAAGCTGGTGTCTTCGACTTTTGTATGTTGTCGTCCATGTAGGACACTCCTAAAGTATAGTAAAGCGAGCCACCGACTCCAGACACCAGCTGTGCTATGAACAGCAACGCTTGGGGTGCGAAGTTCCCATCAGCATCCTCGCATTCGTTTTCTCGGCTCTCGTTTCCCAGGCATAAAAATTTCCGATATTTGTCAGGTATATGACTCGAGTTCACAGCTCGCGATTTTGCACCATATTCTTTCGTGAGTAGAAGAGCGT